TGGCAAGATTTTTTTTATCTGTTTTAACCTACATCCACTTTATGGGGGTCTGTTTTGTTGAACTTCTGCTTTGTGCTGAATTCCTTGTAGAAGGAGGGTCACTGCATGTGAGTCAAATCACATATTATAAATCCCTGTTGTGACTAGATAATGGAGATAGTGTTATGAGGACTACATAATGGTGGTAGATTGTGTGATAAAATGAGGTGACTGGTATTTGTGGGTTTGACTCCCTAGATAATGGTGGTGGTGGGTCAGGGTGAGAAGTGACCCTAACCCACCATTACCACTTAGTAGCAGGTAGTAGGATAATGGCAACCATCCAGGGAGGTACTACCGTCTTGTCAAATGAGTGCAGAATGGGAACCTGTTCATTTTATTTTTTGTACTCTGGCAGGATTACTGATCTTTTCTTTGTCTTTTAAACACAACATAACAAGTGACTTACTTACATTTGGTATACACATACCTTTACTTTCCCATATGCTTCTTAACATACTATGTTTTAATCCTGTAATATTTCCTTCCCAACCTAAATGGCCTGGTCTGAGAGAAAGGGGGTCCTTGGAGAAGATATTTCCCAGAACTGTTTATGACTCCTAAATTCAAAACTAACCAAATGATTTTGTTCAAAATAATAAGGAAATTTATAATGAGAATTACAATAATCACACCCTACCATGGTGTGAAACAGCTGATGTGTTAAAAAAATAGGTTAAAAAAAAAATTGTGTACACTATTTCAAGCAGAATTAAACTACCAGAGCAGCCACAATGTCTTGTTACCACTTGTAGAAATAATAACTTTGTTTTTATCATGTTAGTTGGCAGTGCTGAAGGGGGCTAAAAGTTGTACTCAGTATAAAAGCACTACTCTTATTTTAGTGCACAGAGGATATGATTGTCATGGAGGTGGGAAGTACGGTGCCTGCACTCTGAAGGAGGGGTGTTAATGTTGCATTTTTATAACTGTAGTTTGAGTGCTCATCTGTCAAGAAAGTGATGGAGTGAATGATGATGAAAGTTTTTCTTTTTAGGGCCACCCTGCTTTGGTGGGAAATGGCTGATGTGTTAATAAAAAAAAAATTATGTACAGTGGAACCTCAAAAATTGAACGTATCACATATTGAACGTTTTCGAAAATAGGACCATTTTTTCGGACAAACTGTGTCCCTATTATCGAACGCTCCCCTATTTTCGGACTGCCGGGTATGGGACCTGTCTGCCGCCCGCTCTGTCCGTGTCCCCGCGCAGGCGCCGTGAGCAGTCTAGCTTTGTTTATGCTTGAGTGAACACTAACTTGCGCTCTCATTCACGCATTTTACAATTATTTCGTTGTGTTTAGTGCTTGTGGGACTGTGAAATATGCTGCCATGGGCCCAAAGAAACTTGCTAGTGGTACCCTTGTGGTAAAGAAAGTGAGAAACACCATAGATGTGAAGAAGGAAATGATACAGAAGTATGAGAGTGGTGTGAGACTTGTTGAGCTTGCCAGGATGTATGGGAAAAACAAGTCGACCATCGGTTCTATCCTGTCAAAGAAAGAACAAATAAAGGAAGCTGATGTTGCGAAAGGTGTTAATATAGGGAGTGGATGAGGTGCCTTCTTCAAAGATTAAGGAGATTTGTGCCAAGTGGAATGATGTCCAAATGTTTGTGCAGAGGTACCACCCTGAGCAAGCTGAAACAAGCCATCTTTGCAACAAGTTCAGTTAAAGAGGCACCAGAAACAGAGGACTGTGGACAGTTATTTTGTGAGACAGGGGTCCAGTGGCTCTCAAGCTGGTTCTAGTGGCATTAAAAGACAGAGAAGGGAAGTAACCCCAGAGAGGGATTTACCTGAAGTCCTCATGGAGGGGGATTCTCCTTCCAAACACTAACCCCAACTCCCTCTCTCCTCCTCCCTATCTTCCAGATGCCATCACCAATCTTCAATAAAGGTAAGTAAAAATGTTATTTTATATGTATTACTATACATAATTAAAAACTATAGTATTTGTTGTATGTAAAACTGGAATTAATCTCCATAAAATGTATTTTTCGTGTGAATATTTTTGGGTTTCTGGAACGGATTAATTGTATTTCCATTATTTCTTATGGCAAATATTGCTTCGAATTTCAGACTTTTTGAATTTAGAACTAGCTCCTGGAACGGATTAAGTTCGATTTTTGAGGTTCCACTGTACTTTTGCATTGTTGAACATGATATTCCAAGCTTCACATATCATTTACAGCTCAACTTGTGGTAACCTGGCAACAGACTCTTCATTCAGTTTGCTCTGCTGGCCTCCAGTTGATGGCCTTCCAGTTCTTGGCTTATGTTTTATGTTGCCTGCTTCAGAAAAAGTTCATGCTTCCAACACAGACAGGTCGTCTTTTTTTTTAGTAGGGTTGAAATTCTTGGCAGAATTGTTGCTAGAAATTTATATTCTCTTCTTGTATTGTCTTCCCTGTTTGTGGTTGTAGACACTGCCATTGATATATCATTGTATTCTGGTTAATATTGATATTATTAAGGAATAATAAGCAGGGTAACAAGAGGTTTGTATGTGGGAAAATCTTTAAGCACAATTTGAATTCTTATGCTAGTTGTCAATTCAAGGATCAAGAGCCAAACCTGGGAAAAATGGTCACTGCACAAAAATCTGTGGTTAATCATATGTATTCGTGAGTTGCCCATCAATAAAAGCATTCACTAATTAAAATTCACAAATATATAAGCCCATTAATTTGTAAGGATGATTGTACAGGAGGGCCCCACTTATACGGCGGGTTAGGTTCCAGGCTACCGCCGTAAAGCGGAAACCGCCGTAAAGTGGAACACCCTTTTTTTCCACTTACAAATGCATACAAACACTAGATAACAAGTTTACACTAACATATATTATGTTAGCAATAGAACCAGGCATCAAAAAACAATAAAAAAGTACAATACACACACAGTGCACTCATTACTTACCTTAAAAATATTTATACAGTGGACCCCCGGTTAACGATATTTTTTCACTCAATAAGTATGTTCAGGTGCCAGTACTGACCGAATTTATTCCCATAAGGAATATTGTGAAGTAGATTAGTCCATTTCAGACCCCCAAACATACACGTACAAACGCACTTACATAAATACACTTACATAATTGGTCGCATTTGGAGGTAATCGTTATGCGGGGGTCCACTGTAGTCTTAATCTAGGGTGAGACAAGTAGTATTTATTGTAAGAAATCAAGTGTGGTATGTATGGTGTCAGCCAGGCTACCATACCAGGCCACCCCACCCACACATACTATTCTATGATATTTAAGCATCCCAGAGTGATAAAATGTATATACAGTTCACTCATTACTTACCTTAAAATATTTGTAGTCTTAATGTAGGGTCAGGAGTAAGTAAATGAGATAAAACGAATAAACGAGAGAGAGAAAGAATGAGTACATGAGAGAGGACAGGCGCAGAGTTATGTAAACAAACCAGGCGAACGTAAGTTTTGTAAACAAACGAAGTGTACACGTCTGGTTTGTGTACAAGTTACATTGTGTACAGGTTGTCTCTACATTGATACGGTAGAATAAATAAAGAAGAACACTCCCATTCTCATGTAACATCATTTTGAGAAGAAATGATGCTCTGAGTGAAGGCAATGGAAGTAAGTCACTCTGACTTTTTTGGGTTATCCTAGGTTCTCTACACATATGTTGTTATGTATTTATGTTATGTATCGTGTTTATTATATAATTTTGAAAAAAAATATCACGGATGGATTAATGAAAATGTGTATATTAACGTTATATACAACATTTAATGATACACCGAGCTCAGACAGCGTAAACAAACTGAACAGGTTGTGGACGATCACTCGGTCAGGCGAAATAGACGGTATTAATACGTGTCCAGTTTTAGTTCATTCATGTACATTTGTAAGAGTTTGTGAAACTTTTACCTTATAATATTTTTATTATAATAATTAAATCACGAAACAAATACTCTTACACTGTGTACAAGTTAGTACAGAATTATAGCTATAAAGTGAAGGCATACGAAAGGAATATTTTTTCTACAGTTATCCCTAGTAACAGGTGACGGGCTAGAGAAAACGTAATTCTTCCGACACTTCTACAAACCGTTTGGTAAACATCTCGTATATATTTGTATAAATTTTTATACTGTGGGTGCATGTATCATGTTTGTGTGTTACATAATGTGTTTCTTATATAATTTTGAAAAAAATATCATAGATAGATTAAGGGAAATGTCTATATTAACGTAATATGCGACATTAATGCGCCCAAGAGATTATATTATTACTATTATATTATTACTATTATTATTATTATTTTTTATTATTATTATTATTATTATTATTATTATTATTATTGCATGAAGAGTAGAGAGAGACTTAGTGATTTTAATGTGTGCCTACATGCCAGCACAGTGTGTAAGTTTATTTAGGTACAGGTGTACACAAGTTTAATTATCAAGTACAATACATATAAAATATAAAATAACTTTAAAACACTTGAAATTTTGGAAAGTTTCCAGACATAATAAGGAGATGTGCTCAGGGAGAATGTAAACAAACTCGGTGGGCCGCTGTGACCGTATTAGAAAGACAGGTGGGGGGAGCCGTATAGCGAGTTTTGGTCATAATTTGAAATGTCCGTATTAGCGGAACGCCGTAAAGCGAAACGCCGTAAAGCGGGGCCCTCCTGTATATGATAAATTCATTTATCTGACCAATATTGGTCCACATTAGTCTTTCATACAGTGTCATGGGGCAGGAAGCATTGGCCTGAAGAATTTTTATTGTACATTGCCTAAGGAATGGGTTTGGTCTGAAGAAGGATGGTAGCTCCAATACCTCATTAAAAGCACTTCACCAGCATTAAGGTGGCCCCCCTCCCTCATTAAAGGGTGACCTGGAGAAGATAACTGAATAATGTCCAAAATCTATTTGTTCATTTTTCTTTTTATACTCTGCATTTAATTTTTCAATTTCATTGTCAGTGGGATGAAGTGATAGCTAAGCTAAATTCAGAACAAGAAACCCTAAAGAAGCAACTGGATGAGTGCTTGAGTCGGTGTAGAGGCCTGGAGAGTGACAATGAGGCATTACTCACCAACATTTCAGCTCTGTGGAAGACGGCACTGTCACAACTACGACTCAAGACCAATGAGATAAATAAACTGCAAAGAGAGTAAGTAAGAAATGTACAGTACATACATAGAGTTGAACTATAGCTCTTAGGTCTCTTCAAAAATTAGCTGCAGCTCCTCTGTGCCTATTGAGGGTTTGGAGTGTCTACCCCCCACCATTATCACCTAGTAGTAGTTAGGTAGACAGCAACCATCCAAGGAAGTAGTACTGCCATCCTGTTAAATGAGTGTGAAATGGAAATCTCTTAAACTTTTGTACTTAGGCAGGTTTGCTGATCATTTCTTTGTCTCATGAACATGTAAAATTACAGGTAAAGTTTACAAAAATTTATAGCACAGGAGTCGTTGGAGTTACGATATTAATCCATTCCAGAAGACGTGTCGTGTCTCCAAAATATCGTAACTCAAACCCCAAAATATATGGAGTGAGTTAAACAAGTAGGAGAAACTTTTAGAGAGGGTGTGGTAGGTAAGTTTGGGGTGCCAGGTGTAAATGATAATGGGAGCCCTTTGATTGAACTTTGTATAGAAAGGGGTTTAGTTATAGGTAATACATATTTTAAGAAAAAGAGGATAAATAAGTATACACGATATGATGTAGGGCGAAATGACAGTAGTTTGTTGGATTATGTATTGGTAGATAAAAGACTGTTGAGTAGACTTCAGGATGTACATGTTTATAGAGGGGCCACAGATATATCAGATCACTTTCTAGTTGTAGCTACACTGAGAGTAAAAGGTAGATGGGATACAAGGAGAATAGAAGCATCAGGCAAGAGAGAGGTGAAGGTTTATAAACTAAAAGAGGAGGCAGTTAGGGTAAGATATAAACAGCTATTGGAGGATAGATGGCTAATGAGAGCATAGGCAATGGGGTCGAAGAGGTATGGGGTAGGTTTAAAAATGTAGTGTTAGAGTGTTCAGCAGAAGTTTGTGGTTACAGGAAAGTGGGTGCAGGAGGGAAGAGAAGCGATTGGTGGAATGATGATGTAAAGAGAGTAGTAAGGGAGAAAAAGTTAGCATATGAGAAGTTTCTACAAAGTAGAAGTGATGCAAGGAGGGAAGAGTATATGGAGAAAAAGAGAGAGGTTAAGAGAGTGGTGAAGCAATGTAAAAAGAGAGCAAATGAGAGAGTGGGTGAGATGTTATCAACAAATTTTGTTGAAAATAAGAAAAAGTTTTGGAGTGAGATTAACAAGTTAAGAAAGCCTAGAGAACAAATGGATTTGTCAGTTAAAAATAGGAGAGGAGAGTTATTAAATGGAGAGTTAGAGGTATTGGAAGATGGAGGGAATATTTTGAGGAATTGTTAAATGTTGATGAAGATAGGGAAGCTGTGATTTCGTGTATAGGGCAAGGAGGAATAACATCTTGTAGGAGTGAGGAAGAGCCAGTTGTGAGTGTGGGGGAAGTTCGTGAGGCAGTAGGTAAAATGAAAGGGGGTAAGGCAGCCGGGATTGATGGGATAAAAGATAGAAATGTTAAAAGCAGTGGGGATATAGTTTTGGAGTGGTTGGTGCAATTATTTAATAAATGTATGGAAGAGGGTAGGTACCTAGTGATTGGCAGAGAGCATGCATAGTTCCTTTGTATAAAGGCAAAGGGGATAAAAGAGAGTGCAAAAATTATAGGGGGATAAGTCTGTTGAGTGTACCTGGTAAAGTGTATGGTAGAGTTATAATTGAAAGAATTAAGAGTAAGACAGAGAATAGGATAGCAGATGAACAAGGAGGCTTTAGGAAAGGTAGGGGGTGTGTGGACCAGGTGTTTACAGTGAAACATATAAGTGAACAGTATTTAGATAAGGCTAAAGAGGTCTTTGTGGCATTTATGGATTTGGAAAAGGCGTATGACAGGGTGGATAGGGGGGCAATGTGGCAGATGTTGCAAGTGTATGGTGTAGGAGGTAGGTTACTGAAAGCAGTGAAGAGTTTTTACGAGGATAGTGAGGCTCAAGTTAGAGTATGTAGAAAGAGGGAAATTTTTTCCAGTAAAAGTAGGCCTTAGACAAGGATGTGTGATGTCACCGTGGTTGTTTAATATATTTATAGATGGGGTTGTAAGAGAAGTAAATGCGAGGGTCTTGGCAAGAGGCGTGGAGTTAAAAGATAAAGAATCACACACAAAGTGGGAGTTGTCACAGCTGCTCTTTGCTGATGACACTGTGCTTTGGGAGATTCTGAAGAGAAGCTGCAGAGATTGGTGGATGAATTTGGTAGGGTGTGCAAAAGAAGAAAATTAAAGGTGAATACAGGAAAGAGTAAGGTTATGAGGATAACAAAAAGATTAGGTGATGAAAGATTGAATATCAGATTGGAGGGAGAGAGTATGGAGGAGGTGAACGTATTCAGATATTTGGGAGTGGACGTGTCAGCGGATGGGTCTATGAAAGATGAGGTGAATCATAGAATTGATGAGGGAAAAAGAGTGAGTGGTGCACTTAGGAGTCTGTGGAGACAAAGAACTTTGTCCTTAGAGGCAAAGAGGGGAATGTATGAGAGTATAGTTTTACCAACGCTCTTATATGGGTGTGAAGCGTGGGTGATGAATGTTGCAGCGAGGAGAAGGCTGGAGGCAGTGGAGATGTCATGTCTGAGGGCAATGTGTGGTGTGAATATAATGCAGAGAATTCGTAGTTTGGAAGTTAGGAGGAGGTGCGGGATTACCAAAACTGTTATCCAGAGGGCTGAGGAAGGGTTGTTGAGGTGGTTCGGACATGTAGAGAGAATGGAGCGAAACAGAATGACTTCAAGAGTGTATCAGTCTGTAGTGGAAGGAAGGCGGGGTAGGGGTCGGCCTAGGAAGGGTTGGAGGGAGGGGGTAAAGGAGGTTTTGTGTGCGAGGGGCTTGGACTTCCAGCAGGCATGCGTGAGCGTGTTTGATAGGAGTGAATGGAGACAAATGGTTTTTAATACTTGACGTGCTGTTGGAGTGTGAGCAAAGTAACATTTATGAAGGGATTCAGGGAAACCGGCAGGCCGGACTTGAGTCCTGGAGATGGGAAGTACAGTGCCTGCACTCTGAAGGAGGGGTGTTAATGTTGCAGTTTAAAAACTGTAGTGTAAAGCACCCTTCTGGCAAGACAGTGATGGAGTGAATGATGGTGGAAGTTTTTCTTTTTCGGGCCACCCTGCCTTGGTGGGAATCGGCCAGTGTGATAATAAAAAAAAAAAAAGTTAAACAAGTTTAGAAAGCCTAGGGAACAAATGGATATGTCAGTTAAAAACAGAGTAGGGGAGTTAGTAGATGGGGAGATGGAGGTTTTGGGTAGATGGCGAGAATATTTTGAGGAACTTTTAAATGTCGACGAAGAAAGGGAGGCAGTAATTTCATGCACTGGACAGGGAGGTATACCATCTTTTAGGAGTGAAGAAGAACAGGATGTGAGTGTGGGGGAGGTGTGTGAGGCATTACGTAGAAAGAAAGGGGGTAAAGCAGCTGGAACTAATGGGATCATGCAGAAATGTTAAAAGCAGGGGGGGATATAGTGTTGGAGTGGTTGGTATTTTTGTTTAATAAATGTATGAAAGAGGGGAAGGTACCTAGAGATTGGCAGAGAGCATGTATAGTCCCTTTATATAAAGGGAAGAGGGACAAAAGAGATTGTAAAAATTATAGAGGAATAAGTTTACTGAGTATACCAGGAAAAGTGTACGGTAGGGTTATAATTGAAAGAATTAGAGGTAAGACAGGGTGTAGGATTGCGGATGAGCAAGGAGGTTTTAGAGCGGGTAGAGGATGTGTAGATCAAGTGTTTACATTGAAGCATATATGTGAACAGTATTTAGATAAAGGTAGGGAAGTTTTTATTGCCTTTATGGATTTAGAAAAGGAGAGCAATGTGGCAGATGTTGCAAGTATATGGAATAGGTGGAAAGTTACTAAATGCTGTAAAGAGTTTTTATGAGGATAGTGAGGCTCAGGTTAGGGTGTGTAGAAGAGAGGGAGACTACTTCCCGGTAAAAGTAGGTCTTAGACAGGGATGTGTAATGTCACCATGGTTGTTTAATATGTTTATAGATGGGGTTGTAAAAGAAGTAAATGCTAGGGTGTTCGGGAGAGGGGTGGGATTAAATTATGGGGAATCAAATACAAAATGGGAGTTGACACAGTTGCTTTTGCTGATGATACTGTGCTTATAGGAGATTCTAAAGAAAAATTGCAAAGGTTAGTGGGCGAGTTTGGGAATGTGTGTAAAGGTTGAAAGTTGAAAGTGAACATAGGAAAGAGTAAGGTGATGAGGGCATCAAATGATTTAGATAAAGAAAAATTGGATATCAAATTGGGGAGGAGGAGTATGGAAGAAGTGAATGTTTTCAGATTCTTGGGAGTTGACGTGTCGGTGGATGGATTTATGAAGGATGAGGTTAATCATAGAATTGATGAGGAAAAAAAGGTGAGTGGTGCATTGAGGTATATGTGGAGACAAAAAACATTATCTATGGAGGCAAAGAAGGGAATGTATGAAAGTATAGTAGTACCAACACTTATATGGGTGTGAAGCTTGGGTTGTAAATCTGCAGCGAGGAGGTGGTTGGAGGCAGTGGAGATATCCTGTCTAAGGGCAATGTGTGGTGTAAATATTATGCAGAAAATTTGGAGTGTGGAAATTAGGAGAAGGTGTGGAGTTAATAAAAATATTAGTCAGAGGGCTGAAGAGGGGTTGTTGAGGTGGTTTGGTCATTTAGAGAGAATGGATTAAAGTAGAATGACATGGAGAGCATTTAAATCTGTAGGGGAAGGAAGGCGGGGTGGGGGGTCGTCCTCGAAAAGGTTGGAAGGAAGGGATAAAGGAGGTTTTGTGGGCGAGGGGCTTGGACTTCCAGCAGGTGTGCGTGAGCGTGTTCGATAGGAGTGAATGGAGACGAATGGTATTTGGGACCTGACGATCTGTTGGAGTGTGAGCAGGGTAATATTTAGTGAAGGGATTCAGGGAAACTGGTTATTTTTATATAGCCAGACTTGAGTCCTGGAAATGGGAAGTACAATGCGAGCACTCTAAAAGAGGGGTTCGGGATATTGACAGTTTGGAGGGATATGTTGTGTATCTTTATACATATATGCTTCTAAGCTGTTGTGTTCTGAGCACCTCTGCAAAAGCAGTGATTATATGTGAGTGAGGTGAAAGAGTTGAATGATGATGAAAGTATTTTCTTTTTGGGGATTTTCTTTCTTTTTGGGTCACCCTGCCTCGGTGGGAGACAGCTGACTTGTTAAAAAAAAAAATGGTAATTTGTTCCAAGACACCAGAACACACCCAACTTTCCCATGGATTCTTTTTGTTGTTTAAACACTCTGGGTGTTTTTTGAGTGATAAACAAGTATGGGCTGCTGCTTGAAATATCCATAGGTATTGGTACCTAGACAGACAAGCAGACAGACAGACAGGTAGGCAAGCAGGCAGGCAGGCAGGCAGGCAGGCAGGCAGCAGGCAGGCAGGCAGGCAGGCAGGCAGGCAAGCAGATTGGTAAAGAATTGTAGATTTAATATTAACATGCTTGTTGTCAGTCTCCCACTGTCTGCATCTGGTACATGTATGATCTTTTTTCCTCCCAGCCAGCCTCCCTCACTCCCTTCCACCACTATTCCTCCCACTCACCTCCAACACATCCTCCACCATCTCTTCATTTAAGACCTTTTCCTCACCCTGTGTTGTCTCTGGACTGAGGTCCACCCACACCCTCTGACCATCGTACATGTATCATATCTCAAATTTTTCATTGCAACTCAAAACTAAATTTCTTTATGAGGGCAAATCATAACATAAAATTATACTAACTCCAGCCCATTGTAACTCAAGGGACCACTGTACTTGCATTTAGTATGCACATATTGTACATTTACTTAACTATGTGCTTCTTAACCCTTTCAGGGTCCGTCCCGTAGATCTACGGCTTTACGTTCAGGGTCCAAACCGTAGATCTACGTCATGAGCTCAGCTAACTCTGATAAACTGTGATTGGTACATTTGGGCCTAGATATGAGAGAATACATCTATGTGGTATGTGTGCACCACATAAAACAGATCCTGCAGCACACTGTGTATAATGAGATAAAAAAACTGAAATCATGATTTTTTTATTAATACAGCGACATTGCAGTGTTTTTTCATATGTTTTTTATTGGTGTATTTGCGATTTCTTGGTCTCAATTGATAGAATGGAAGACATATTACAGAAATAGAGATGATTTTGATTGGTTTTAACACTGGAAATGGCTTGAAACTGAGCTCAAAGTAGCAGAAATGTTAATTTTTTGCCGATATTCAAGAGTAAACAAACGACCTCACACATCTAATACACGTCAGCTGGTGGGTCTAACATGCATTCACAAATATGGTGATGATATTTATATAATTATTACAGTATTGCATAACAGTAAATCTTCTATTTTTTGGTGTGAATGAAAATTCATTATGTGAATAAAAAATCAAAATGGAATTTATTTGTAAAGCCTCAAAACGTAACTAATGAACAGAGGAAATGTTAGTTTAGTTCCAGGAATACCTACATTGTTTATTCTGGACCCTATTTTGAAATTGGAATATTTTGAACTTTGTGTTAAATTGGCCAAATTAACAATTTCCGATCACTTTAATTTGTAGTTGAAACAGTTGACTTGCTGATTTCTTGTGCTCAATTGATAGAATAGAAGTAATACTAGTGAAATAGCTAAGAATTTGGTTGGCTGGAATAATGTAATTGGCCTAAAATGGGACTCAAAGTCGGCAAAATCGCCGATTCGTAAATATCGCTGACACATCGAAATTCGCGAGAGCATAATTTCGTCAATTTTCCATCAAATTTCGTACTTTTTGTTTTATTACCTTCACAAAAAGATTCTCTACCATTTCATAAGAAAAGATAAAAAATTTTTTTTTTTTAAATTCTTGGACACTGGGGCACCACTTCAGATTTGGGCCTTGGACCCTGAAGGGGTTAATAGCTCTTAATCTTGTATGCATATTTCCTTTCCAGCCTATGAGGCCTGGCCTGAGTCTGAGCCATGAAGAGGATTATGCCCTGAACTACTAGCAGATAAAAGTTGCTTGTTGATATTATTTTATTATACACCCCCTCTCTTGCTCTCTCCTCTCCTTCTCTCTCCTTCCTCTCTCTCCTTCCTCTCTCTCCTTCCTCTCTCTCCTTCCTCTCTCTCCTTCCTCTCTCTCCTTCCTCTCTCTCCTTCCTCTCTCTCCTTCCTCTCTCTCCTTCCTCTCTCTCCTTCCTCTCTCTCCTTCCCCTCCCCTCTCTCTCCTTCTCCTCTCCTCCTCTCTCTCCTTCCTCTCTCTCCTCTCCCCCCTTTTTTTTACACGGTTTGACAAGGTTAAGGATCCCTAGTTTTAATTGACAAAGCTGTTTTACTACAGGTTAAGGATTCCTAACTTTATTGACAAGCTAAGAGCTGTTACCTACATCAGCTCATTTGAAAGCATTTTTATTGTTATGAGACATACAAGTAGGAAACAGGATGAAGTTGGAGCCATCTGTGGGCCAGCATTTTCATTTGATCAACTGACTTTATCTCGTTGACATCATTATGCTGTACGAATGTGTTCCATACTCGAGTCATCCTGGGTATGTATGATCTCAGATGGAGTGATGTTCTGGAGAAGGGTACAGCCAGAGTGAAGTTGCTGCTTTCTGCCCGTCTTGTGGCATAAAAGCTTGTTTCACGCTGTCCTCGAAGTGGATCCAAGTGTGGTATTTTGACAATATTGGCCTTGTACATAACAGTAAGGCCACCCACATCCCTCCTATGTTGAAGGCTCTGCTGAAATGACAGATCTATCCAGGATGGGTCCAGGCGAGAGATGAGACGTCTTGCTCTGTTCTCTACTCTGTCAAGCAGTCGCAGATGAGAGGGGGGGGCAGGCAAACCAAGAAAGTGGAGCATACTCAAGGTGCGAGCGTACTTGTGCCTCGTACAGGATCTTGCAACCCCTACTGTCAAGCAGATGGGAGATACGGCGAAGTGCTGTAAGCTTCCTGGCTGCCTTGTTTGCAAGATTTACAACATGGTTCTTCATGGTTAGTTTGGAGTCAAATTTCACCCCAAGGATATCAACTTCTTCTCCAGGTGCCAACATCCTCCTATTCATCCTTACTACTGCACCAGCATTACCATCATGGTGCCTGGAGACGATCATCATTTGTGTTTTTTCAGGTGCAAATGTTACTTGCCATCTATTTCCCCAAGCTGATATAGCTCTCAGCTGGTGATTGATGTAGCTTAGAGCAGCTGGCATTTCTTGTCTTGGATAAGTGAATGTCAGTGTACAGTCGTCTGCATATGCATGTGATTCTGGGATGAGATGAAGAAGGTCGTTGAAGTAGACATTCCATAACAATGGACCCAGCACGCTTCCTTGTGGAACACTTGCCCCAATAGGATGTCTTGCTGATTCCGTTCCATTGAGAGCTACACTTAGAGATCTACCATGAAGGTAATCACTGAGGAGACATAGCGTAGAGCCTGCAATTCCCAGTGCTTGAAGTTTTGCTAAGAGGCCTTGGTGCCACACCCGGTCGAAAGCGCCAGCAATGTCCAGTGCTACCACACAGCTGACTTTGGATTCATCCAGTGACTGGTGCCACTTAGTGGCACCTCTCTCTCTACCTCTCTTTCCCTCTCTCTCTACCTCTCTCTCTTTACCTCTCTCTACCTCTTTTTTTTTTGACATAGGGTTTGAGAAGGTTAGGTTAAGGATCCCAAGCTTTATTGACAAGCTATTTACAGGTTCAGGATTCCTAACTTTATTGACAAGCTAAGAGCTGTTACCTACATCAGCTCATTTGAAAGCATTTTTATTGTTATGAGACATACAAGTAGGGAACAGGATGAAGTTGGAGCCATTTGTGGGCCAGCATTCTCATTTGATCAACTGACTTTATCTCGTTGACATCATAATGCTGTATGAATAGGTTCCATACTTGAGTCATCCTGAGGATAAATGATCTCTCTCTCTCTCTCTCTCTCTCTCTCTCTCTCTTTCTCCATAACCCATAGAATCCCATCAGACTCATGTGGAATCCCAAGGTTCTGCAAAACAACTTGAAACACTGATCTGATCTAGTACAGAGGGATGTGACTGATCTAATACAGAAAGAGGGGTGTCACGACTGGGGTCTGCTACTGAAGGGCGTCACGACTTGGGTCCAATATTGAGAGGTCATGATTGGGGTCTGGTATTGAGATGTGTCTTGTTGGGTCTGGTATTGAAAGGTATCTTATCGGGGGTCTGGTAATGAGTAGTGTCATTTTTTGAAGTCTAATGCTAAAGGGTCTTATGACTAAGGTCTAGTACTGAAGGATGTTGTGAATGGGGTTTAGTTCAAGGGATGTCGTAACTGGGGAAAAGCCTTGTTTGGTTAACTCGAATGTGAATTTATGTAAGTGTAACCGAACCATTTTTTGGGTGTTAATACAAATAAAGTACAGCAGTGTTTAAAACTGAAGAATACTGAATTATAAACTCTAATTTCAGGAAAGAGGCACTCATCTTTCGGAGGGCAATGCGGCAGGTCCCTAGAGATGAGCTTGATCTTGTTGTGTCTCGCATTACTGCCTACAACAAGGAGGAATTTGCTTCATTTATGCAGGTATGTTTTATTGTGACTTGTATTATATCATACTGTGGCTGTACTGTATTATATCATACTGTGGCTGTACTGTATTATATCATACTGTGGCTGTACTGTATTATATCATACTGTGGCTGTACTGTATTATATAATACTGTGGCTGTACTGTATTATATCATACTGTGGCTGTACTATATTATATCATACTGTGGCTCACAAATCTCTTCTTTGTTTGTGTGTTAGAGAGTTGCTGAATGTCTTTTATACCTCATGTAGAAGATTATATACTGTACTGCATTTATGGTTGAGTGTAGATGAAATGAAGGCAGAAGTTCCATGTTGGAGCAGGAAGGATTAAGATAATATAGTGGTCCCCCGACCTATGACATTAACCCGTTCCTGAGAGCCCAGTGTAGATGAAATGAAGGCAGAAGTTCCATGTTGGAGCAGGAAGGATTAAGATAATATAGTGGTCCCCCGACCTATGACATTAACCCGTTCCTGAGAGCCCATCATAAGATGAAATGATCGTAGGTTGAATTAATTTCCCCATAAGAAACAATGGAACTCAAATTAATCTGTGCAAGACACCCAAAAGTATGAAAAAAAAAAATTTTTACTACATGAAATATACATTTTCTTACACACAAAGAGTAAAACACCACTGTGTATGACACCATGTTTCAGAGAGTTCCACAAGCTGCAGAACTTGTAGGAGTATTTCAGTGACGTATTTTGGGTTTTTATTATTATGAACAATAGAAATAAAAAATTTTTTTGTATTGTTTGTTTTGTAAACAAGTTTTTTGAAAAACAAATATTGATAATTATTTTTGTGTGTTTATTGTGTTTATCAACGAGTGAAATTGTACATTGCCCCTTACTTTGGCCCAAAGGCCACATAATTAGGAAAAAATAAAATGTGAAAAAAACAACAAACCTTCAAATAAATAAACTAAAGTTTACCGGGTGAGCGCATCGCCGCTTTGCCATGGGGGGCTCATTTTCTGCAAACTTCTTTCCTCATATCTGGGTAATACTGAGGGGAAAAATTTTTTTTTGGGACTAAAACAATCAGAAAAATAATCTTAACATTTTCATAAGAAAAAATAATTTTTTTTTTCGAATATTTTGCGACACCAGGAGACACTTCAGGATTGGGCCTTTCGACAGTAAAAGGGGTTAAGGGAAACTAGTTTTTTTTTTAAATTTAAAAATGCATATAAAAAGTTTGAAAACTTTTTTAACTATCAATATTAAGTCCAATAGAGCTAGGCCTAAAAAATGAATATACAGTACACACATTACAATATTTTTGTCCTTGGCTTATAGTCTGTGTTGAATATATTTATTGTAGGAAGTCTGAATAAATGAAGAATGGATATAATTGAAAACTGTTTGTATTGGCAAAACGCTGTTAAAAATTCAGCACTTTTTTAATATGAGTGTGAAACTCAGGTATAGGTTGGGGACGTACCATCCAGGGAGCTACTGCTGCCCTTTTAAATATGATGAGAAACAGAAGCCTGTTAAAAGTTTTGCACCCTGACAGAATTGCTGGCATAGTATTTTTTTTTTGTTTCATTCCAGGTAAAACCTAAAAAAACTTTACTTACGTTCAGTAAACAGGTGTCCTCAACTTACGATGGGGTTGCATTCTGACAAACCCATCGTAATTAAAAAAATTTGTAGTCGAATATGAATGTGATTTTAAAAATAAATAAATAAATAACCAAAATTTACTATGAATGTCTTGGGCATTTTTTAAAGGGCATTTTTGTTTTGAAAAAAAATTTTCTTTCACCGGGGGAATAAAACAGTTAAAAAACCATCTCAAACAATGCTGATTCATCCAGGCTTTTTGTTGTGGCAAAAAAGAAGGAAGCATAGCTTGCTCACATTCTTGAATGTTTGGGGGTTCAGGGAATGTTGGGTGACTACAGAATGTGCATTGCTGTCGCCCCCAATTGTAAAGTTAAAATACATTAGTTGAGCCTTTTGTAAAGTGAGGACATCTGTACATTTTTTTCCCCTGTGTGCTTCTTAATTGCTCATTTTTCAGTAATATTTCCCTTATCAGGGCCCCCCCAGTTTTGAAGTACCAATTATCGAACCCTTTTTGAGTTTCAACCCCTTTTTTTTAAACCCAATTTTTTCCAATATCGAACTCACCCTCTTTTTAACCCCCTGGTGCCGGACCGTCTGCCACCCGCTCTGCCACATCCCCCGCAAGCGTCTGACAGTCTGGCTTGTTGATGCTTGAGGAAAAACTAACCTGCCGCTCATTCAAAAAATTTTACTATTTTAATTTATTGTGTTTATGCTTGTGGGACTGGAAATAAGCTACCAGACCCAAAGAACTTGCTAGGGTATCCTGGGGTAAAGAAAGTGAGAAACCATAGATGTGAAGGAAAAACAAAATATGAGAGTGGTGTGAGACTTGTTGGGGGTTGCCAGAATTTCGCAAAAACAATCAACCTCGTTTATCCTGGCAAAGAAAAACAAATCAAGGGAAACTGAGTTGCGAAATTTGTTGATTGCTAACCAAAAAAGACCAAACATCGATCAGGTTAAAGTTGATTTAAAGGGCATGTGTGCAAAATGGAAAAAGTTGCAAACTTTTTTTTGAAAAATATCCCCCCCTAACCAAGCCCGAAACAAGCCATATCTGCAACAAGTTCAGGACAGAACCCTGTCCCATTCAGGGAAATGTTTAAAAGGCACCCGATACAGAGGACCGTGGGGGGTTTTTTTTTGTGAGACGGGGCCGTGACTTCAAGCGGGCCAGTGGCATTAAAAGACAAAAAAAGGGAAATAACCCCAGAAAAGGGCTCTTACCTAAAGCCTTTATGGAAGGGGATTTCCCCTCCAAACCTAAACCCCAACTCCCTCCTCCTCCTCCCCATCTTCCGAACCATCACCAGTCTTCAATAAAGGGAAGTAAAAAAGTTATTTTTTATGTTTATTTAAATTTACTACAAAAAGTACTATTATTTTGTTTGTGTATTAAAAAAAATAAGTAATTTTTACAAAAAAGTATTTTTTTTGGAATATTTTTGGGGTTTTTGGAATGGATTACATGTAATTTTAGATTTCCCTTTTTTCTTATGGGAAATATTGGTTTACTTTTGAACGTTTCGACTTTAGAACAAGCTCCTGGGGAAAGGATTAAGTTCAAAACTTGAGGGGGCCCCCTGCTATTCCAAGTACCAGATTGAGGTAAGCTTGGGTGTAATCCAGGGTGGGTTTCACCCCCTGTCCACCATTTGTTTATTCACCTTAAAACCCCCTAACATCATAAGAAACTCTAGTGTACATAATAAATTTACAACGTATATATGCAAGGATTTTACACAAGTATAATTTTTCTTCCTTTTAACATAAAAAGTTACACAAATAACCCCCATAAAAGGGGAAGCTTACGCACGGTTTTTGGGCCGACTTGGGCCCTTGACAAAGTGACTTTGTAATGGTCCAAATCGGGCCGAAACGTCGTCGTAAGCTTCTCTCTTTTTGGCGGGTTATTTTTTGTTGTTCCCGTCACGGTATTGTGCCTTTTTTGTTATTTACATAAAATTGTAAATTTTCCCTTTTGTTTTTTTTTGTTTTTTTCTACTAGAAAAATAAACCCTTAACCTTAGGCTGTCTGTCTTACAATACATCATACACCACATCCTGATTTCAAATGATGTTTTGGGACCTGATAAACTGTTGGGGGTGACAAGGTAACATTTTGGAAGGGATTTAGGGAAAATGGTTAACTGGGCTTGAGTCATGGAAGTGGGGGAAATACAGTGCCTGCACTCCAAAGGAGGGGGTTTTGAGATATTTCCTGTTTGGGGGCCACTGGACGTCAATGGGACACCTCTGGCAAACAATGAAGCGTATTGATGGTGAAAGTATTTCTTTTTTTGGGTCCACAGTGATAGTGTGAAGGAGATGATGAAAATAAAATAAAAATAAAATAATAATATTTAAAAAAACTTGGGGTTTTCCCCTGCTACCAAGAAATTATGTTTTTAAATTTTTTTTTTAAACGGGGGTTTTTTTTTAATTTTTATTTTATTATTGAAAATAAATTTTAAAAAAATTAGGTTTTAAAATGTGTTAAAATTTACATTTTAATAACTTAGTTATTATCCCCACAAGTGTTTAAAAATTTTTGTTTATTTAACATTGGGGTTAACAATAAGCACATTAAAAAAAAAAAATACCATGGGGGATTAAGAAAAGGAATTTGTAATTAACGCAAAGAACCCCGTACTTTTATTATGGCGATTGTGGAATTGTCGCCCCGAGTCCTTTTTTTTATTTTTTCTAGTTGTAAAATTTTTTAATTTTTTTAATTTTTTTTTTAAAAAATTCTTAAATGAAATTTTAAACCTTAAAAACCCTTTTTAGCTGTTTGAATACAGTAATCTTGCACCAGTCAATTTTATTTTTTTTTAAAATGGGGGGTTAACTTTTTTTAATTTTTTGAGTTTTTTTTTAAATTTTTTTAAAAAATTTTGGAGGGATTAAGAAAAATGGTTAATAATTTAAAGCTTTTAAAAGTGGAGTAAGTTTTTTTGGACTTTCAAAAAAATTTTAGAGATATTTTGTTTTTAAAAACTTTTAAAATTTTGGACCCCGCAAATGGAAGCGTGTTATGGTTTGGAAAGAAAAAACCCGGGGGGGCCCCGGTGATATTGAATGTGGGGGAGGTATATATTTTTATAATTTAAATTTATTACAATAAAAACCCTAAAGGGGGTTTACATGTACGGGTTTCAGGCCAAGCTGCTAATGACATATACATTAGAAAGCCCCTTGATGCAGAGCTTTTGGGGCAAAATTAGGTCGTTTTGGGCCCCGGATGCAACCCACACCAGTCACTAACAAGGTCCCCATTTTATACTGATGGGTGAACATTGACAGCGGTGTCTTACAAAACACCCTTTTTGTTATCAAGCGTACCGAGATGAGCAAAAATTTTTGGGCCCTTTGACATGGGAGAATGGGTTTGTGCAGTGGGTGGC